TCAATACCATCGTTTTCTATATTTACCTATATACTGTGTATATAACATCAAATAACAATCATTTTGTGTTAGGCTATATAAGTTGTTTAGGGTTTGCCTTGTTATGCAATTCGATAATTCTTAAAAGTAAATTCTATCTTGTTCTGCTGTTTTTTCCGTGTGTTTACCATATTGCATGTCATCACTACTGCTGTTTTTTCTCTCATTTGTTTGAATATGTATATTAAACCTGTGCCTTGGCATTGCCAGCTGACTAAAGTTTCCTTGTTTTCTCTTTTTTCAATGTTCTCTGTAATGCCTGCATGGAACTATTCATTACTCCATTTTTGATAGGGTTCAGCAATAACTGACATGTTAAAGTTATTGTCTTTTTAATTTTTCCATTTACTCTGTATAGTGTTTTCCTCTTCGTCTAGTAGGTCTTGTAAACATTGAAGCTTATTACTAAGATCCATCTTGGACTGATTCAGCTTTCTGTCATGGTAAAGAGAGATTGCAATAAACCTTTATTATGCTGCTTCTTCAACTGTCCAACGCTTCTTAGCCTCAGATTTGTCCGACTACCCCCAGGTTCCATCAAAAACTACATCAGATCCTGTCTTTGTTCGTACGCCTTCCATGGATCTTTTTTAATGTTTTATTGATACAGATGTGATCGGGTTGGTTTTCTGTAGTGTTGTTCGGTAAAACTTATATATATATATATATATATATATATATATATATATATATATTTGTGGAGAAAAATAATGCAGTATTATTGAAAGTACAAAGATTTACTAGTATGTCAACATTCTTGTTCCTTTCTCTGTGTACATTTCGCTTTATGATGCGTTTGTTCCCGATGTTTTCCACCCTGACCTTGAAGTTTAGTTCCCTCATGATAATAGATAGCTATCAAAAAAGGCATTGACTTCGTCATTTAAAAAAATATTGGCTTCACTAATGAGCTGTTATAACTCTTCTGCATAAAGGGACTTCAACTCTCAGGGCGAAACTAAAATGGTTTAGACGAATTTTTCTGTTTAGCGTTTATTCAGGGACTAAGATTACCAGTCGTGTACCCAACGTCCTTTAACTGGAGTTGGACCGGCAGTAACCCTAGACGGGTTCCAGGCGAAGTTTGACTAATTTAAAGTGGTTTGATATTATTATTACTGACGAGCCGTTATACATAAAAAAGCATACCTTCCTCAAGACATATTTGTTTGATACATGTGAACAGAAAATATTTTTAAGGAGCTACTCACATTTACTTACTCGCACTTCATCATTTTCTTAAAAACTAAATATATCATCTTTAACTCACAGCTGCAAATGGGCTTGCATATTTCAGTAGTTCTAACTGTATTCAGAAGTTTTAGATATGAAGCGTAAGTTTTCTAAACCATTCTTTTGAGTTGATTGTGAATTCGCGTTGACTAAGTCACATGTATATTTCATATCACACTATACTAACTGTAGAATCCTTCATGCATTGGCTGCAACAATGATCTCTAGTCAAAATATTTTAACCAATTAGCTTGAAATGAATTCTTGCTTGATCTAATATTGAGGTTAACTTTGCAAGTTCCTTAAGTGGGAAAACAGTAGAAATAACTTCGTATCAAATATACTTTTAAACTTCACGTTAAACTTGAACTAATTATCAGCCTTAGAGTTGATTCATTATTTATGAAGAATTTCAATTATATGGTTTGCCCCATGAAACTCAATTGGAAATAGAAAGTATATTTATATTTTTAAGAAAAATCTACTTTTATTCTTTCATTATAAAATAATCTACATATTGACTGCTTTAATTTTTTTCATTTTACGTTAATTATCTTCACTAGTTGGATATACACATGCTTATCTACATCTTTCTGCTGAACCACCTACAATGAGACTTTTGAGCATGGTAACAATGAGTTCATTATTTGGTCAAGTGATATTTAATTTTGTTATTCAGACAGCTGCATTCATATTGATTCGCCTTCAATCTTAGTATGCAATTTCTCTGAATTTTATTCCTAACTGCACGTTGTTAGCGAATTTCATTTGTCACTATTCTTTCGTTAGTTGCTTGCATTTTCATATTTTTACATAAGTTGTAGAAGAAAATGTAAATGCCAGTTAACTGTTGATGTATGCAATACTAGTCCAATACCTTGCTCATGAGTATTCATATTATGAGAAACATTTTGAACATTCATTATCTAAGCTATATTGAAGAACTAAATAAAAATTCAAGTTGACGTTTACATATTTTGATGTATTTGCAAACAGATATTGAATCCATGTAAGTTGGTTGTATGCAGTAGATAAGGTACTTCAGATCTAGATTTGGTGTCGCTTTGTACTTGTTAGTGAAATTCTTAAACCATGAAAAGCACTCTTTTTGTGAACATGATTGCATGACTAACCAACAGGATCAAAGTTAATTGGAAACTTGCAACTTACAAAATGAACGGAAGCAGAGTTTAACGTTTGATGGAAGATGTTTTATGCATGCATTTTGCCTTTATGTGATCTGCTTTTCCTAAAACTTATGGTGTGATGTGTAAACCAAGTAAGAAAAATGTTTTTGAATGTAGTGAATTATTGGTCGATTTATTTTTCACAGACATAAACCTTCGAACATTTACTCTTAAATTTTTGTTTGATCTGTTTGTAAGATTAAAGAAATTTACCATTCTTTGATCATACTTTTAAAAGGTATATGCCGTTATATTCGTACTCTAATATATCCGAATATCGTACCTATGAAAGTACATCAGTATTTATAGTCTCCACCTACCAATATATAATTTTGGCCATTGCCTTTTCAAAAGGAGCACCATATCGTAAATCAATTTTAACTAATTGTAAGTTGTTTTTGTGTACATAAATATTTATTAATGACGTAAATCGTTAGGTATTAAAAACTCGTGAAGTTACTGGGTGTACTACTGTGGTAGTGAGATTTCAACTTATAATTTAACATACAACTATCCCTTTGTGATGGTAATGTTAACACTTGTTTGTTGTTCTTTATCCAATGAAACGAATTAGTATATAATTTTCTGATTTTATCTTAGATTCGGCTTTTTTATGTCTAGGTTATTATGCAGAGATGTTGCTACACTACTTGGTTGAGGTAGAAATTATTGAATCAAACGAATTAGGAAAATTCACATCATTTGAATTGATGCATTTTTAAGCTATTTCCATCGCACAACGTTTCTTTGAATTATATTCATAAGAACTTAGTAGTTCTTTAGTTATTTTGGTGGAGTTTTGTTCTCTGAGCTGGATGGTTTGGTTGTGGAGTTTTTATCCAAACCATCCAGCTCAGAGAACAAAACTCCACCAAAATCATCCACCTGAGCTACAAATCTTCTCCACCAGTTCTTTAGTTACTATAACATTTACCAAGTAATTTACTTCTGTAACGCAGACTAGTTAATTGTATGAAATATTCATTTCATTACCAAGTCAATAATTTTAAAACACTATCCAGTGAATATAAACTGGCTGATTCTTACTAATCAGCGTGTCATTTAAATTTTCAATTATGGTTATATAATCCGTGTTTGACTATAGTATCCACTTTTGAATGATTCCATGACTTACTTCACACAAATATGTTCTTGTTTGGTCTCTAAACAGTTATAAAGATTTACAATACACTAATCTTTTGTTTCTCTTGTGTTTTATTTCAATAGATGCATTCGTGCTGAATATTTTGGTGTGTTTTGCGTTGAGTCTTTACTTGACAACTTATCCAGCTAATTGGATAGTTGAACTTTTACAAGTAAGTTTACGGAAGACTAGCGTTTCATCTGAAGTAGTATACAAGTAACTTGGTTTCAATACCGGCTATAATTTTTATTTGGGTCAGTCATAATCAGCATAAAGCCTGAGACAATAAAACTTAACGAAGATTGACACAGAATGCAGATTCTCACGCTCGATCACTTGATAGACAGAATAGAACACAACGCAGCAAATAGATAACGTCGAATCATACAATTTTTAGTTGCTTCCTGACCACATATCAACACTACTAAGAAATTAAAATATAATCTCAATGATTGGTCCTTAATCAAGTAACAGTGGTTTAACAAACGCACAACACATAACATTGTTCTATACATCACGTCGAAGCTTGTAATTAGACGAATACCAAAATACAACAGTTTATGTATTTAATAATCATGCGACCAAAATGTAAACAGTAACCTCAAATAGGGTCGTTCCGAAAGTTCAACATTTCTTGATGTTTATTCCGTTATAACGATAATGTAGTTTCAATGGTAATGAGTAAAACTAAGTATTGAGAATTTGGTTCGGAAAAACTGAGTGAGAATGTATAGTTGAAGGAATACTGAGATTCAGAATCTAGAGAATTTGAATTGTTTGGATCCTTTCCAGTGTAGCTAACTCTGAACCATTTTATCCAACGTTTCTTACCATTACTGCAAACAATGCTCATATCGACAGTCAATAATTTCTTTTTCTGACACCCTGTCTAGGTTTGGCAGCCTGTAGCTTTCTTCTGGTTCACTCCTACTTCAGATAACATTGGACGTCGAGGTATTTGATAGCTGTTCATACGTAATATATATCCCATCCACCTCATTCGATGAAGACCCACAATTTTATCGACCTATTGGTATCTTTGTCTTATACTCTATGCCTAACCTTTGTCTTCAATTTTTTTCTTTGCTCATCACTGCTAATAATCCCAAGCAATATTCCTTTTGATGACCTAGAAGTATGTTCACAGATCTCACAGGACAGAGTGATAAAGCAGATCCCACTTTTCATGGTCAGATCTTGATTTGTATGTTCCATACATTCCAGACATTACTGACAGCGATGGAAATCCGTAGTGTTAGATAGGGGCATAGGCTTATGAATCATCACTTGCGCATTACCATTTGCTTTGAATTCTAATACTGTTTCTTAATCATTGACGAAAACCATTTTTAAATAAGGTTTTGTTTTTCGTAGGTAAGTTTCATATTGTTGTAATTTATGAATAAATGATTATTTTCTCATACAACTGGTATTCACTCACCAGTAAAATTCATCTTTTATTGTAAATGGAAGAATGCTTTGTGCTCAAAATATGCTAAGTTTTACTGTTCGTATTTACTTTCAATAAAGAATATCACTCTGAAATCTCAAACATTGTTTGAATGAGCTTTGCCTTTCAGTCATTACTAAATTGTATTTAGCAGTAAAAAATGAAACACTCTTCTTATCTTGCTAAACTGTTCTGTTTTACGTGTTGGTATATTTGATGGATAGCCACTGTTCCAGCTGGTATTTGTACTCAACAATCATAGCTCTCAGCACTCGATCAATAATCTTACAGTTACAGTAATTACGTCATGTTCAGCATACATTATTAGTCATTCTGTTTCTTAAAACCATACTATTCAGCATGTGTTAACACATACGTCATATGACTACGATTTCCTATGTCGTATACATTTTTGATCCTTTCAGCAAATTCTTTCTACATAAAAAAGGAATCGTTATACCAGTTTATATTTTGAAATATCGCGTTTAGTTCTCGAAAACTTTTGTTACCTACAGTTTTGCTTCCTTATTGAAATGTTTGTTAAAATTACCTATTCGAAAAGGTGATCACCGTTAACGATATATTTTGTGAATTCTCAAATCGTGTCTAAACCTGACATCTTCTATATTTTCGTTTTGCTAATAATCTTACAATTCATTATTGACAATGAAAGTAGAATTTCGTAATAATTAATTCATAGAGAATGTGATCTAGCACAATCATCACTAGTTGATGTAATATCTATTTGACAACATTACCTCATTTAAATTACTTAAACACCTTAGTTTAATGGACTTTATTGTTTGTTTGTTTTTTGTTTTAAATATATATTAGGACGTTTATGTTACTTATAAAATGATTTACTACATTTCTTCAAAATGAAAACTGTTGTTGTGGTTACATTGAGTTGACATAATGAGCGAAAGTTGCATAAATTTATGTATTTAATCACTAGATAGCGAAAAAAATGTTGGTGAATTCTGTTTGTGAAATTTTTTTATCTTCAACCAGTGTATATTTAAATTGTCATGAAGAATTCCCTTTTTTACGTGGCTTCATCTGTTTCTCAGAAGAAAGTAGTTTTATGCCGATAAAACTCACCCAATACCTTTGTTCGTGTTCGAAAATAGTAGTGTTAGCTGCTTAAAGTAACCCTTTCAAACGATTCTAAAGCAGTTAAACATGTGATTTTGTTTTATCAACAAAGAAGTTTGAATGTTAATTAAAGTTCCACTTTGTGATGTGCATCGGCCTTTGTCAATTTAATTATATATATACATGTCTTGATGAGTGAATTCCTGACATTCTGATTGTTTATCACTCTGTACAAAAACTTTCTTGTTCGCGTGACTAAAGGTTCAAACTTCACTGTCACAACATAACAGTAAGACGTCATCATTAATAGGTAATTTTCTATTCGATTTTCGACCGAACAGGCTTTTTTCAAATCATGTGTAATAAAGCGTTTTGATCCACTAGTGTATTTCTGATATAATGGGATGCTGTTCAAGTGTCATCATGGTTGTATAACCATTTGTTATTTAAATCAATGTTAATGAAATATGTTTTCTAGTGAGTTTTGTTAATAAATCAGTTTTGAAGAGTTTAGTTTTTCCTCTTTTCATTAAATTCAGATTTTGTTATAGGGCAATCGACACTATACCGATAACCACATAGTCAATGGTATTTCTGTATTTATTCTATTCTCTGAAATGATTTATTCTTTGCAAAGTTAGATGAGGACTATTAAACAAGAAGATTAAGATATTCAGTCACTATATTTTCATTTACAATGAAAATCGTTTATAAAATATGAGGATATTTTCAGAGTCGCATGTATTGAAATTGTTTTTATCGATTGTAGTTAGTCCGAATTCCTTCAATTTGGTTCATACTGATTTTACACTCCATGGTTTTGGCAAATTTTATGGCTAGTTATATTGTTGAATCAATTGTTGATGGAGTCTCTTTTCGACGTCGTATACGTCGCATTCGTCGAGCACTATTTCCAAGGTTAGTCACACATTTTTATGACAGTAACTTTGTACGACTTCAGTTCATGTGATAAATGCATCAAGAAGTAGGGGTATTTCATATTAGTTAATTTATTTTTACTTTTTAAAAGATGTTTAGTGTGAAATCAAAAAGTTTGGACAGTTTTTATATAATGTACATGAGTTATCATTTCAGAATTTATGGCTGTCTTCGATGAAGCGTGTTATTTTCTCTGAAAAACCAATAAAAAGCGAAATAGCGTGATTTCGATTTCACGATTCTGAGAATCTTCTCACAGTTCCTGTTGTTTCTATTGTTGCCGAGGGGTTACTGAGGTGGAAAACTTTTGTTCATCGTGAATAATAGGAAAAAAGTTTTATTTGGAATCGAAAATGCTTCAAAGTAACTTGATGCGTATTGTACAGATTTATCGCTCACACGATCGACACTACACAAGCTGACTGACAGATCAGAATCTAGTTTATAAATTCATCATTTTCGCGAAGAAATTAATGTACTGCAAAAAGGCGTAGATGATTTTTTATAACAGTCAATTTGAACAAATTGAATCAAAGAACTCTCAAACTACTGAAGTCAAATTAAATAAAAAGCTACTATAAATGCTAATTTCTCGGTCTCAAATGAATGTAAAATGTTTTGAATCTTCGAAGCAGTTGTCATTTTGTCTATAAGACTTCAACATTTCTATCCCTCATTTGATTTCGGTTAAAAAGTCGCTTAGATCTATTAAAATACTCTTCTTTAAAGTGTTTTATGCTTCATTTTAAGCAAGTAATAAATCTCTAAAACTCATTAATTTTCGATAAAATGAATATACTGTGACATTGACTAGATTCAGTTTTACAGTTAAAGGTTAGCCGTCTTGTTCAATGACTGGAAACAACTTATAGACTCCTTGAAAAGTTTTTATTTCGGAAACATATTCCAAATGTCGAAACCTATAGAAATAATAACACTGAAGCTACATGATCTGAGGAAAATGCATGTTCCTTCGACCCGTCAGAGATATAAATAACTTAGAATATTTTACAACAGCGAATTGGCTAGTATAAATTCTCAAGGCTATAAATAGTGAAATTTTTAGGTACAGTGTAAAGGATTCCCTGGAGTTTGTCGATCGCCTAAGAAATTTGTTGATCAAAATAACTTCATGATATTTTTAGATTTAATGTCTGTATTCATTGACTTTCTTCTTCTGGAAACTGTGAATTCCGTTCGCAGTTAGTTCATATATACAATAATGTACAGCGATGATGAAATACTAAATGTAAAGTAATTTTTTCTCTCTATTTTCATTTATTTTTGAAAATGTGTAAAGCTTTGAATACTTTCTATAATGTTCACTTATCGTGTAAAGTGTTTTTAAAATGTCCAAATAATTATCTCGGTATCGCTTTTATGATCTAATCAAGACGTGTGGAACGCAAAGCTTATGAGCAAATTCGAGAAGAAATTGAGATGTCAGCTGGCGTTTGGCCTCCCCTATTAAGATATGCCAGTCTACAAGCGTTACCACGGCATTTGTTTGGAGATGATGATGTAGATTTGCCTGATTGTCCTGGAAGTAGACGGTTGTCTTCTGCAGTATCCAGCGACACAGATGTGGATGTTGCTTCTCTTCCAAGTGAAGTAACTGACAGACGACAGCTTCTCTTTAGCAGTACAGACGGTGATATCGGTCTGCAGAAACATGTCAGTAAACCCTCTTCTAATCAAATGAGTGTAAATCAAAATCAAAATCAAAATTTCACTCTTGGTGGTTCTTTAACGAAACTCAATCTTTCAGTGGTAAGTAATTTATTTGGTAATTACTTCATAACTATTGTGATGTTTACTATATATAGTATGCAACATGGTATAGATACTATTATTTGAGTAGTTTATATACCAGATTGAAAATACTTGCTTTTTTAAGAAAAAGCGCATAGTTTAACTACTGGACTTAATTCTTAAATAATTTCTTCAGGGCGATTTATCAACGCTGATAGGTAGGACAGTTAACTACCTTGATAAATTGCGTTAAGACTACATTGTTCATTTCCCTAAAACAAAAATGTACTTGTTGAAGAAAGTTGTATTGATTAGTTTAAAGAATGTTTTGTCTTAACATGATAACAAACATATTTTGTATATAAATAGGAACTTTTGGAAATTAAAAAAGTGAATAAGTGTATAACACTTGTTGCAATCACTTCAACTTGTCATGAGGTTCTGGGCCACAAGAAGCACCATTACAAGGAATGGATCACTGTTGATACACTAGATATGATTCAAGAAAGGAGGAACAAGAAGGCAGCAATCAATACCAGCCGAACAGGAACAAAGAAAGCCAAGGCACAAGCTGAATACATAGAAGTAAACAAGCAAGTGAAGATCACTAGATCTGACAAGTGTAAATATGTGGAAGACCTAGCAACGACCGCGTAAAAGCCTACAAGAGAAGGAAACATGAGAGAACTGTATGATACAACAAAGAAACTCTCTGGAAATCACCGTAAACCAGAACGACCTGTGAAAAGCAAGGAAGGCTAGGTAATCATCAACTTTTAAGAACAACGAAACAGGTGGGTAGAACACTTCAAAGAACTTTTGAATCGACCAGTCCCACTGAACCCACCCAACACCGAAGCAACACCCACGGAACTCCCAATCAATTTTGGCCTACCAACAATCGAAGAAATAAACATGGCCATCAGAGAAATCAAGAGTGGCAAAGCAGCAAAACCAGACAACATTCCAGCAGAGGCACTGAAAGCAGACGTAGTGGCAACTTCAAGGATACTCCACATTCTCTTCAGAAAGATTTGGGATGAGGAACAAGTACCAACAGACTGGAAAGAAGGACTTCTGATCAAAATACCGAAGAAAGGCGATCTCAGCAACTGTGATAACTACAGGGGCATCACTCTTTTTTCAATACCGGGAAAAGTCTTCAACAGAGTATTGTTAAACAGGATGAAGGACTGCGTAGACGCCCAACTTCGAGATCAACAGGCCGGATTCCTTAAGGATCCTTCGTGCACAGACCAAATTACGACACTGCGGATCGTCGTTGAACAATCAGTTGAATGGAACTCGTTACTTTACATCAACTCCCTTGATTTTGAGAAAGCATTTGGCAGAGTGGATAGGAGAACATTATAGGATCTTATTCGACATTATGGTGTAGCTGAGAAAATCGTCAACATCATCATACAGTGGACAGTGGATGCAGCTGAACGATCTAGACTTCGCAGATGATCTGGCTCTACTGTCGCACACGCAACAACAAATGCAGAAGACGACCAGTGTAGCAGCAGGGGTCTCAATGTACACAAAAGGAAAAGCAAGATTCTCTGATTCAACACAGCATGCACCAATCCAATCACAATTGACGGAGGAGCTTTGGAGGATGTAAAAACCTTTATTTATCTGGGTAGCATCATTGGTGAGCACGGTGGATCTGACGCAGATGTGAGGGCGTGGATGGGTAAAGTAAGAGCAGCAAATTAACAATTGAAGAACATCTGGAACTCAAAACAACTGTCACCCAACACCAAGGTCAGGATGTTCAATACAAATGTCAAGACTGTTCTGTTGTATGGGGAGGAAACGTGGAGAACTACGAAGGCCATCATTCAGAAGATACAGGTGTTTAACAGCTGTCTTCACAAAATACTTAGGATCCGTTGGCCAGACATTATGAGCAACAACTTACTGTGGGAGAGAACAAGCCAGATCCCAGCGGAGGAAGAAATCAGGAAGAAGCGTAGGAAGTGGATAGGACACACGTTGAGGGAAGCACCCAATTGTGTCATAAGACAAGCCCTCACTTGGAATCCTGAGGACCAAAGGAAAAGTAGAGGACCAAAGGACACATTACGCCGAGAAATGGAGATAGACCTGAGAAAAATGAACAAGAATTGGATAGAACTGGAAAGGAAGGCCCAGGACACAGAGTGAGTTAGAGAATACTGGTGTGCACACTATGATCTGTTGGGAGTAACTGTAAGTAAGCAAGCTATACCTTCATCAAAACGTTTGTTCAGGATGTAGGTCTTGATAATATCTAATTTCAGTTTACGATACAAAATGTCTTGAAAGGTGTAAATCATATTTTGTATTTCTGTTCGTTCGTTTCATGAAACTCTTCAAATGTTTTTTTCCGTTGACTTATTTATGCCAACAACTTTGAATAGATTAAACCTTTCATATTTGTACTGAATTTTGTTTGTTATTGAATATATTTCACTAAATATTTGAATTATTTAATTTGTATTTTGTGGGCTCTTAATATGACGACAGCATGAAAAACAACTTTACTTTTTGAGATTTTTCAAGATTTTATTATTCTTATTTACATATTTTTTTACATGAATAATGTTCTTTCATGGTGTAAAGTTATTACACATCAAAGGGTTTCCTGCCAACTACTTACAACTAATTAACATCAAAACCGTTTTGATTGATTTCAATTCATTTATTCTACTTCTACGTTTCTTATTGATGGATAGAACTCGATCAGTACTAAGGACTCGATAAACATGAATTGGTTACTACTGATTGGTCAATCCGTGTAAAAGTGGTCATTTTTATCAAAAATATCCATGAAAGTAGTTAAGGTTATTTTCAGTTTAGTATAGGTAAACGATCGCATGTTTGTCTGATCAGAGTCCAAGTAATTCTCACAAAGATCACTACCTGTTTGTATTTCTGTATTTAATTGGTAAAGTATTGACTGGCACTTTTTCATTTGTGTTCGGTTATTTGAGAAGAATAAACTGCTTTATTCTTCAAGCTTGTTGTCCAGTCGTTTTATGAGTCTTTCGATTAATCACAAAATGAGATTATTTTCAAACTGGGTGATGACGAAGCCTAGCATCACATATCTCAGAAGAAATATATAATCAAATCATTCTCTGTGATAGTTCCAGTCGATATTTTGCCATGTATTTTTCCTAAATTAAATGTTTTTTAAAGTGATTTCATGGAAATTCTACATCTGTACTTCATGTGATTTGATCAGCTTTGGACACCGATAAAGCTGGCGCAAGTGTGTATGTCTTAGTTGCTATATCGCTTCAATGGGATTCACATGAATATTGAACACTGACAGTTAATTATTTTGCTGTATATTTGTTTGAATTAATGATCCAAGTTAATACTGCGTCTTCATCATATCTTCAACATATGAGTGGTTTCTCAAAGTATTTTTTGAATACTTATTTTCGTTCTTATGTGTTAGAACCAGTCTAACATTCTAAGGCAAACTAAGCGTATACGCTAATTCACTTTGATTGGTACAGAAATTTCGAAAAGTATAGTATTCTTTCATTTGAGTCAATTTTTTATTAAAATGTTAGAAAGCGAAACGTGTATTAGCATAAAACAAAATTCATTACGATCAGCGGTTCTCTTAAGAAAAGTCGTAAAGCGAAACAACATTCCCAGGAGTTTTTGTCTCACATAACCTAGTGCTCATATTTTTATTGTTGTTTAGGAAATTTCCTTTACTGCTTTAGAATTAAATACGTTGATCGATTCCATCTAGCAGCCAGTTCGTGTAAATAATAAATGATTCAAACCTGTGAGTGCCTCTAGGAAAGAAACTGTTATGAAATTCCCAAATTTTAATTGGCAAGATATGGATAATTTATTTGGACAAGTCGGGCTCTTAATGAACCAAAATGCCATTATATTCAAATAAACTAAATTGCTGAAAAACGGAATGAATATTTTTACAGTGTGTCATTATTTTGGAAGATTTTTGAAGTAAACAGATGTAAATGGATGTATGTATATTTATATAATTCCGTGTACTGAAAACCGTTCATGCCAACCAATATTGTCAGTACCATATATACAATTATATAATGTACCATTGTGGGCCAGGGTAATTTTACACTGGTTTTCAGGAGAACCGGACATCATTCAGACCTTCACATGACAACCTAAATAGTACGGTTCAATCCCGTTTAACAGGAGAGCCAAACAGCGCCCAAGCTTAACTCGAGCAGTACAGCTCGATCCCACTTGCAGGAGAGTCAGACACTACCCACATCTACAATCTCAATTAAATAGTCCACCATAGTTTTCAAAAGTTGATACTTTATAGTTTCATTTTATTGATAAAAAAATATTACTTTGCTTTACAATCACCAAGAACGAGCTAATAATAATTCAAAAATCAAGTTGTTTATTTAACAGAACGGCATGTTCATTTACTACTCTATTGAAAGTATAGTTTATAACCAAAAGCAGTTAGTGGTAATGACTAGTTTTACCAGTTATTTTAAGCAAGAGTGTAGTTCGAGTTATGAGATCATATGGAATCTATTAGTAAGCATTTGTCTGTTCTTGTTCAGTGGTAGTTGTTATTCTACCCTTAGTTGTTCCACGCATTATATTAGCTTTGGCTCACGCTTAATTTATTGTTCCAATCATTATCTTAGTTTGTATTGTTTATTTTCCTTTTTTATAATGTTGTTCAATATGAAAAAGAAAAATAATATCTTACTTTTGAAATTTTTATATTATCGGCTGTTCAAAAATCATGATTTTGACTTTTTAATTAGTATAGTATCAAAATTAACATCCTGATTCATCTACTTTCGACTTGTATTAGGACTCACTACAGCATCACACTGTTTACGATCCAGATGTATTTGATCATTCTTCAGTGCCAAGTACACCTTCAGCTTTAGAGGTTCCTGTTATCGAAAGCATGAGTTCACATTTGAGAAATGAGGGTGAAGAAAATCGTGAATAAGAAAACTGTCGGTGAATTATATGGTTCGCTTCACTTTTTCAAAAGTCAAGTTATATTTGCACTATCAGTAACCTTTTATTTTTCTACAAGGTTAACATAATTGCTTATGATATATTTAAATGCCAAGATTGTGTACTTTTTATACAATGTTCGTTGTAATATTGGATTTTTAATATACTGAATAACTTTACCTTCTGTCACCTGCACATATTTTGATTTATTTGCTCTCTTTAAATGCCAAAATGTTCACTTCGATACTGTTTTTTTTTTCGAGAATCCCAGATAGTGTTGGCATAAAGCGTGTTTTGCAAATGATATTTGGTAAATTAACAACGATGTTTATTATTTCCATCTAAAAATGATAGCTTGACCTAAATTGCTAATTGTATTACAACGAATATTTTGTAGAATTTCATAAGAAATGTTCTTTAAAGGTGAACAGTTTATTTGTGTTTTTATGACAACTTATTCCAATAGATTATTCACTCATTGATAATATTTTAGCACAATACAGTTATAACTTGCTGATCTGCCAGCTTATTAGAAGCGTAGCACATTTTTGTTTCTTTTAACTCGTCTAAAGTAAAGTAATTAGCTTTGATTGTCAAATATTCTGTGCAACATGGAAGCTTATTCCTTTGTTCTGAAATAACGTAATGGTAAGTGAATACTGAAATAATATATGCATGTAAACATTTATATCTATTTTGAATTAGTCAGAAGTGCTGATTTTCGGTTTGTTAAGGTTCAATGTCATGAATGATCAATTGGAAATAATCTGCAAATAGTTTATGCATTTGTGAAAGAATATGATTTTATAGATATAATAACCGACTGTGCATTGGATACTATAATCCTAATTTCTATAGTGTTATTAGTACCAATTATTCAATAAACTTTATTAGTTAGTGCATATAATATTGTACGTACTACTAGGTTTCATAGATGTTGCATGTATTTTTACTCATTTATTCACTTTTGAAGTGCATAATTAACTGTGTAAGTATGGTCAAGTTTCTTGTACATCTATTTCCAAACGATGTTCGTGGGTTGACTTGACTGCAGATAGATAACATACACTTAAACATCGATAAACATAATGATAAAACATTTATTGATTAGTTTCTTTCATTTGAATGATGGTCAAGATAATTCTGATCACCCATTGCAATTAAGTTACTATCTGTTTTGTTCTAATTGTAAGCTGTTTTATGTATTTTGTGATAAATCGTAGAATGTTTAGATCTATTACAAAATTTGTTTCTTATCAGAATGGGGATTTGTGCAGATTGTAGTAATTTTGATAGTTGGATTATTGAGATGATCTAAACTAGAACAACATTGAAAACCTGGAAGCACAGACAATGGATGAAGGGTTGCGTAAGATGATGGATCGATTGAAGTTAGATACTAACACTGTTGGATGCCGGCTCAGTGGTCTAGAGGTTAAGCGTTCGCGTGCGAGATCGAGAATCCCAGGTTCGAGTCCTGAGTGTGGGGTCGTGGGTGTGCAATGCTGTGGAGTTCCAGATTAGAACGAAGGGGCCGTCCAATTCTTCTAAGTATTCAATGGTGGTCTAGCTTAGATTAGCTCGAGAATTCAACTATTAAAATGTGTTTTGTTTGAAAGGGGTGAAGCTAGATATATATTTATACAGCGTATGACGGGGAATGGACTTTTACTAAAGAGGTTACTCGGTAAGTACACTTCTTACTAGATATATTTGATGCATCTGTCGAAACAATATCTGTAACATGAAAGGTGTGGAGTACTAATGAAACCCCAGTTGTACGCTACATTGTTGTTACTTCTGAGCTTTAATTGTGTTCAAAGCAAACTTGAAGCTTATTTTGAAACCAGGTCATTCATGTATTTCACGTCAAGTCCCATACATTTCATACACGAATTTTCATTTGATAAATCTAGAAAATCACTTTTATCGAAGGAAAGTGTGAACATCTGTGGTTAGATCAGACAACAGATACTTAATTATGTGCTAATGGAAGGAACACTGCTTTGAGGACTACTTCAGAATGTGATTAGAAAAACCCATGACTAAACACACGACAGGTTATCTAGAATAAGTTTGTTTATTAACAATTTCTATGATTGTTTCTATTAATCAAACTAGCATTTTGACGTACCATAATCCATTGACAACTTTTATAATACATCATGTGTGATCTAACTTTCCAGTCAGTAGTAAATTGCAGATGAATGATAAAGATGTTTTAAGCTTGTACTGTGTCATGAAACCTAACTGAAAACATCTGACGCTGACCTAGCTGTATCAGACAGAGTCGGTTATTTTTCGAATTGCCTCTTCTAACAATTGGAATGGGAAAGCATGACTTGATCTTTAATCAGTATTGATTCAAATATCATCTGGCTATCGAGATATAAATATAGATAAACGAAAGAAGATAACGGATTTATTTGATAAAGTGTAATAAGTACTACAAATGTTGATTTAAATTACTTCACCAATCCTACTTAGAGTATCTACTAGTCTTTAATAGGAGATTAAAATTGTGAAGAATTTGTTTATGGGAAAAAGAGAACATTTTCTGTTAGTCTCACGTCGACATTTTCTTCAATAATAAGGATGTTCTTATATGTCAAAATTATATGACTGGTTATCTATTCAATTGTTAATAAAAACAGTTCATATCATGTAATTAACTTTAGTTGCAAACAACTCGTAGATGGGAACTCATCTACTCCGGTCTAAGTAGATTTTATTCATAAATCTATTGAATTCCAAAAGTAAATCATCCATTGAACTGCGTGGATCGTTTCTGTAATTTGTTGTAAATTAAACATTATCGATGATAAGTTTATCCAACATTTCATGAACAATGCACACATTTTCATAGTGTTATGCACTCGGTATTTACTACTCGGCTTTGAAATGAATGTCTTAGTCATTATGATAAATTACAAAGACTTGAAAATCTGATTTTAAATAAAAAAAATACTTACATCATATGCATTAACTTTCTCAAGATTATATCGAAAAACGTGGGGGTAGCTGTCTATGGCTCACCCTGGATAGCGTGGTTGGCGTATTTTTATAGTAAGGTTCTTTTTTGAGGAATGAATTTGGTGAAATCTTGCCAAATTCACCTCCTGTATGTTCAAGAGGACAACTATTAGCTTTAGAGGGGCTAAAGGAGGAGTTTGAAATTTTCAACAACTAATATATCCTGAGACAGTATCCTCATCAGTTTATCAAGATTGGTTTGGATCTCGGTCAATACATCGATCCATAGTCTACTTGTGAGTTGTGTATACGGAGCTTCAAACACTTCAGCCACTGTGGATGATCTTAGTGTTAATGCACTTATACATAATTGTATTTGGAATGTTGATGTGGAAGCCATGGAGGCGACTTCAGCTATCCTATTATAAACTGGTTTACTGGTGACAAGTCCGTCGAGTAATGAGGAATTCCCAACAATACTAGATATCTACTGTTGGTTTTGATAGGTGCATACCTCAGAAAGGCATGGTAACATCCTCAAACTAATTCCATTTCAAGATACCATTGCCCCATCCGTACAAGTTAAAAATGAACTTGGAAGCAATTATCATAAAATGGTTGTCTGTATTCTTCCCGTTAATATTAACCCTTCTGATAAACTTTCCTTAAAAAGAAAACGTCAATATCGGGACTATAAAGTGCAAAGCGGGCTTAATGCAAACCTTGTTGAAGTGTTCATTTTTGAATAACTTCTCGAGAAATAGTCTCGTACATGTAGGAGACATTTTATCAAATCGATTCCATTGCACCGGCGAAAAACTAATGCCTTATTCGTAACAGTTAAGTAACGCAACTAATTAAGATTTTTTCGAAAAGTTACTTTAAGTCGAATTGTTTTTCACCCGCACAATTAGCTGTAATTTTTAACCGAGTCATAATTCAAAGGCCTATATTGAAGAGTAGTTAGCATTTAACGGTGGTTCAAAAGAAGTAAACCTTAGTTATTCTACTCAATAAACGTGTAGGATTATCGCAAACTCAAGATTTCCCTTGAATTTTCCATAATGGTTCTTTTATGAAGATTCGAAAACCGACACAACCATTTTCAGTGATATTGTTGTAATAAATAACAAAACTCTAGAAAACGTTGGACAAGAAATCACACATGACTAGTGAGATGTATCTCTTCCAACCCCTTAAGGTCTCAAGAAGTCACCAATTTGACGGGATTCTACATGTTTACTTCCACTGCTTCTTCTAAAACTGTTTATAGTTTCTCTGGATACGGGCACTAGTCCTAACTGTTGGAAATCACACACAATACTTCCTTACAAATCTCAAAACAAAACTGACTGAGATGAGTATCGGCCTGTGAATATTATCCCGGTTATCCCAAGAATAATGTAAAATATTGTATGTGACGAAATTTCTGACTACTAATTTGCTGGAAAACACAACACTCATTCACGACACGACTCCCGTGGAACTGGATCTTGCATCACTAGTTATCCTAATTTGTTTAGCTTAGTCTTCGCTGAATGTAGTATTGAGCAACTAGTTTTAATACTATATTTTGACATTTCTAAAGCCTACGGCATAATTTACCACCAACTTCTTATAAATGAGTTAGAGATCTCTTACTTGTGTGGTTCAATATTTTCCTCAGTCACCGACACCGTATAGTTGAATAAACTCCCTACAAGTGGCATAACACGATACTGAACAAACTATGCTTTTCATCCACTAATGGAATTCAGAATCACCAAGTTGCAGTGTCCGTAACTGGTTTTCAAAGGTAAAATTGTCTCATAATAAATCTACTCTCGATAGGGAATATTTTACAAAAATAATTATAAATATACATTTAGCAAGGTGATTCCTACGGGGTGGGGTTGATGACCCCAAGCTCAAACCCCCTTGTTTACTCGGGCCTGGGACTGTCATTAACTTTAGAAGGGCTACTAGCGGTGTAAAACTACCAGATTACAGCTAATTAGGTGATCAGTATTTTTTGTC